AAATCACAGCATGGATGGAAATCGTTTTGTGATCCTGAATCAACAGTAATAATTCAAATATTGTTTTTCTGACAATGGATAAATGTCCAGTCTCCAATTTAGTCAGTATCTGATGCCGGACATTTAAGGGCACAGGCATGATCATAGTCACAAAATGCTGCTCTTCAGAGGGGACGCAAGGGACAGGTGTAAAAGATGAGAATTCCAGATGAGAATTATTATCTACCATGTACAACACATCTACTTTTTATTAAAACATTTCCTATTCAGTGTTCAGTGCTCCATCAAGAAGTATAAATGGTTTAGCATTAACTGTCAGTGAGAAGGAACTTCTTTTCTATGGTCAGGTCTAAAGGATTAAATGAAAGAGTTAAATGCAGTAGCAATAGCTGAATGTCAGCTACTGACTTCATGATTTCTTTTATTCAGTTGGGTCTGATCCAGAGTTTGCCCGCTATGTTGCTGGGGTCAACCAGGCTATGCAACAGAAAAGGCAAGCACAGCACGTCCGTCGTCCAAGCAACACACGAAGCAACTGGCTGCTGCCTGATGACCCTCACAAAACCTGGCCCTTTCCTGAGTATTTCACAGAAAGGTAAGAGAATGGTCGAGCCGCTTTGTTTTCAATTTTTTTTATTTGGGTCAGTTCTACACTCGAAACTTGGCAGGATATGGGAATAAGAGCTGTATGTTTTTCTGATTGCTGCTGCACCAGTAAAAGCTGCAGCTCATGGCAAGAGTAAAAAAAATCTGAGCCCTTTCTGCTTTCTTGGTACTAAAGAACTGGCATTTGTTTGATACGATTCTGAAAGTAGAATGCCTACTAAGTTTGACTGAGAGGATATGAGGACTTCATAACAGATTCATTTGGAATGTTCCTATTTCAGTATCTTTAAAATGTTTAAGACCTAGTTTTGATGAGGAGTGATTCTATGAAAGTTGCAGCACCTGGCTTAGTTCAACTGAACAGATTTCAGATGCTTAATCTTATTACTTTAAGGCATGTCACCATACCTTACAGAAAGTTAGTGGTTTTTAATGTCTTCCAAGTTGTAACCTTATTATGAAACAAGTGTTTCAAGATCCTCTGCCTGTTCATCTACATAGCTACAGCTATGAGTCTAAGGCTAGTTTAAAACCAGTAGGACAAGGGTGTTTTCTAGCTCAGTTATGCAGTGAAAGAGCTGAGTGCTTAGTGACTGCAAAACCAAGAAACATTTGTTTTTCCTTCTTAACCAGGACAGACTGTGTTATTTTAGTAGAATACCTAGATATAAACTGACTGTAACAGACAAAGCAGAGATACGATCACTCAGAAGTAAATATATAAAAGTATTTGTGTTAGTTCTACTTTTAATAAAACACTGAAATTTCTTTGTGCCCTTGAGGGCACATCAATCATCTGTCACTGAGATTCAGCATTGAGGGCACACATATCATCTGTCACTGAGATTCAGCATAACTAACTAGAGCATACGGTCTGGACCAAGCAGTATAGATAGAAGAACTAATAAAATGTTTTGTCTTACAGTGATGTGACAAACAGCTGGTCTGGTACTCAAGGAGATTCTGCCAGCTCGAGTGATGAGACCTCCTCAGCCAATGGGGACAGCTTGTTCTCCATGTTCTCAGGGCCAGACCTCGTCGCTGCTGTAAAGCAGAGAAGGTCAGAATAATGAACAGAAATACATATCACTATATAAAAATTTGGGGTGTTTTGATAATTTGAGGGCACAGGTAATTGACTCCTGTCAGTCAGGTAAAGTTACATGAATGTTGGTTTGTGTGCTACACACAATCAGTGAATCAGTGTATACTGCGTATGATCTTAATGCTAGGGGTTCACAAATTGAGTTACACTAGCAGCTAAATCTTAATACACATTAACATCTGTACAGATAGCCAGCTGCTAGCTGAAACTGATTATGCCTAGAAGGAGCTGACAGTCTCCCTGTAAGATGGTCTGTTTGGGATGGCGCTTCTTCCTAAAGTACTGGGTCTTAGAGATGATCTTTGGTTTTATGAACTGTACTGCAGTGTAGCTTTTATTATGAAACAATTGTTTCAAGATCCTGAACTGCCCCTGCACAGCATTTTGATACCTGGCTTCTCTGCAGCTTTGTGGTACTTGATAATACTAGCCTTAAAGTGTAAACTTCTGTCTAACATTGCCCACCAACACCATTTCAGTAGTTTAAAATACTTAAATACTGACTATTTGCTCCTTTTCTTTCTGATCAAAGAGGGAGTTTAATTATATTCCTAAATAAGCTCAGTAACTTAAAAACTAAGCTAGGATTTTAAAATATGAATTATTAACAAGTGAATTCAACTAACTATGAATACACTGAAATGTAATAGTATAAATTAGAATGCAGTTACTTCCAGCTTTCCCAAAGGGTTTATAGCTCTGTCTTTGAAACCTCAGTGATTCCATGCTAGGGGTTAGTTAAGAGGATAAAAGGCACAACAGAAAGTATGAATTCCCACCAAATGAGGCACAAGATGAAGCATGATTTCTGACCAACTTTCAATCTGGAATTAAACTCTCAGCTTATTTTTAGAAAAGGTTTTAAAAAGTAAAATATTCAGTGACCAAATACTTTTAAAATTAATATTTGATCAGAAACAAAATCAGAGTTGATGCATTAGAATACAGCTGTCTACTCTTGGTGACAGGAAAAAAATCAGTGGCCACACCAACAGTTTTCTGCAGATTACCACAGAAGTTATTTTTATATGCACTGGGGTAAAGAAAGTATGCTGGGGTAAAGTAAGATGAAACTAAGGCAAACAAGTTGAAAGGACTTGACTAAGCCAGGAGGTGCTTTCTGAATTTGTACCTTTACCAAAACTTTTAAGAGGGGACAAAAATAAATGCTGAATTGAAATAACTGGGAGATTGTTGTCAAATAAACATCACAGCAGAAGACCAGCTCATCTTCCTTGTTCATCTCTGCAAAAACGTGTTGTTGAAGCTGTTGCTGCACTGTCAAGTCTCTGACAGTATTCAGTAACAAATTTCTTGCCGCAATAACTTGTACTTTTACCTCTACTAAGAAAAAATATGAGATGAAATGCCACTATACATTCTAGGCTGTTAAATAAGACAGAGCAGAACTACAGAATGGTATTCTAGTGGCAGATTAATGCATGTGACTAACCTAAAAACAAATCAAACTAAATGTTGCTTTCTTGGGGCAGAAAACACAGTAGTGGAGAACAGGAACCTAGTACACTACCATCACCACCTCTTCTTTCTGCAGTAGATGACCGTAATCAGGTAAGTGGAGAACATCTTTGTCTAGTCTTTGTCCTGCGTGTGTTTTGGAGTGGTTTTCTTTAGGAAATCAACTGGAATAGAAGCTGTAGCTCCATATTCCTTACTTTGACTAAAACACAAACGATTTACACTGAAGTAGTACTAGATTCTTCTTTTTTCTTTTTTAAATGAAAAGTACCAAATTTAAAATAGGAAATAATTGAACTTCTCCCTTGTGGCAGAAATTACAGCAGAAAACACAAAGATTCAAGTTAAGCTAAGAGACAACACAGTCAACTTCAGTTTACACAAACAATGAAAGTTCCACCAGACTGGCCCTTGAGGCCAAGAAGGGCAGTGGCCAGCAGGTCAGGGGAAGTCACCCCCCGCCCGTACTCTGTCCTGGTAAGGTGACGTGGGGAGTACTGTGTCCAGTTCTGGGCTACCCAGAAAGACAGGGAACATCTAGAGAGAGACCAGCAGGGGGCCACAGTGACAATTAGGAGCCTGGAGATTTCTCTTAGGAGGAAAGTCTGAGACCTGGGATTGTTCTGCCTGGAGAAGACGGGGTAGCAGAGGGTGGTGGGTAGCTGTCAATGCTTATAAATTCTTAGAACACTTAAAGGGTGAGAGTCCAGCAGCAAGTCAGGGGGCAGTGGGCACAACCTAGAACACAGAAAGTTCCATTAGGAAACAGAGCACTGAAATGGGCTGCCGAGAGGTTGTGGAGTCTCCTTCTCTGCAGGTGCTCAAAACCTGTCCAGATGCATTCCTGTGCACCCTACTGTAGGGAATTGCTGTAGCAGAGGGGTTGGACTTGATGACCTCCAGAGGTCCCTTCCCACCTCTACAGTTCTGTGATTCTGTTAATTACCTGCCTTACTAGAAATTGTAACTTTCAGCAGGGCTGCTGGTCATCGAGCAAATGTGCTGAATAAAGGTTTTTCAAGAGGCAAATACTGTATAGGCTATGAGTTATATAAGTTGTATATATGCATCAATTGTGTTTTTAAAGATTAATCCTCTGAAAATGTCGTAGTTAAGTACTGTCTCAAAATAAAGTACATGGATCAAAAAACAACAAAACAGAAAAACCAACCCGCTTCACAAAACAACAACTATTTCTGTTTTCTCAGGATAACAAAACCAAAACGTGGCCTCCAAAGGCACCCTGGCAACATACGTCCTCTGTCACGAATACACTACCCAGTCAGAGCACATCTCTGTACCCTATGAGCAGCCCTGTCAGCCAGTGGAGTGACACGATGCAGATCCTTCAGTCACCCGTGTGGGCAGCAGCCAACGACTGTGCTCCATCCACAGGCATTTCCTCTAGCTTTGCCTATGCGCAGCAGCAGCAGTCACAGCAACAGGCTTCCCAGCACAAACAGATGAATAAGGGCTTTAAATCTTTTCCTGTAAAGCACGAACGCAGACCATCTTACCTGCATCAATACTGATTGCTTTTCATATTGGAAAATGCAGCACAGGGCCAAATAGTTATGAAGTACGTGTACTTTTTTCACAATTGTATGTTGGCTATATCCTGTTCATCTTATTAAATAGGGAATCGAGGGGGGCTTGAGGAGAGCTATAAAAACTCTTGACTTATTTACAGTGCTGAGCAATATGGCCAATATGTTTGTTTGTACATGAAACAGCCCAAAACTGTGATGTAGAAATGCTTTTAAAAATATCTATATTGCCTTTACTTTCAAAAGCTTTTTTTTTTTAAAAAAAAAAAACAAACTGCTGAAGGACTACCATACAAAAAACACTGTATTTTGTAGCTATTTTTCATATAGATTTATAGTTGACATCTTACTGAAACACAATGAATATGTTGAAGCAAACATACAGTGGTCACTTTGCTCAATGCTGTGTTTGAATTTACAATGGACAAGCTGGAAAGCCTTTGTTTCTTCCATAAATGGCCTGTGGGCAACTTTTTTTTTTTTTTTTAATGATGTGTAAGTGCAGCTTTTCATGTGCCACACAAGCGAGTTCATTGTAGAACTGTTGCAGAAGCAGTTGTGAAATTGAGTGTTGTGGTAGTTTCCTTCCTCAAAGTATAGATCAGCAGAACCACTCAGATTTGTGTCACAAATGTTAACTGAGCTGCTTACAGTAGATGGCACCTGTGTGGATGATACTGGTTTTCAGATAAATACATTTGTTAGTGCTTCATTTGGCCAAAGGCATTATCCACACAGTACTCCTTCCTTAAGTGTGTGAAAGTACAGCCTGAAAGACTACTTGCATATATTTTAAAGTCTTATTTCAGATGCTAGTTGATTAAAAAAAAAAAAAAAAAAAGTTGTGAGCTGGCTCAGAAGATATCAGAAGCGTCAGGTGGGGTAGCAGTTAGCTATAAGAACGTTATTTTTTTTAAAGGATAAAGTAATTATCTGCAGTCAATATGTGCCATTAAGTGAACCTGTGGAATTGGGAATAACCTTCCAACCAAAGTGGGTCTGGGAGTGACTGGTGCTTAAAAAGTGAAGAACAATGGTAAATATATATATAGCTATCCCACTGTATATTAACTGAGATTACAGAAGATTCTTTATATAGTTAGAGCTTATTTAAATTTTCATATCTCATCTTTGAAAGAGACTAAAAAACCACAATATTTTCTGGTATAAGAGTTTTGACAGTATTAATCTTATTTTTGTATTTTTCTTAAGTCATATCATTCTAATATGTTAACTACTAGTAAAATGGGTTATTAGTTCTAACTACATAATTTTTCAATGAAGAGAAAGCACATTTGTTGTTTTTGTTTCTACAAACTAAGTACATCTATATCTAAAGATACCAAAAAATTAATACATATATATAAATAAGAAGTATACACAACACTAAAACTATTAAACATTTGGGTATTTAAAACCCATCCACCTTTTTTGTTTGTATGGTGATGGGCTGTATTTGCTGGCCCAGATTGTTACTTTTTGTGCTGTTTGAGGATGCCAATGTTGCCTGTATTTATGATATTGTCACCACGTTTTCTGAAAGTTCATACTTACATGTTTACAAAGATTTGTTTGCTGTACATAGACTTTTTACAGTAATGTGCTTTGCACAATCAGTGTGGCTTGTCTGTAAATTGTTGATGGTCTGTACTACTACAGTTTTGAAAACCCTCTGCTGAAAATGTTAGTGGTTACTTAACTTGATGAATGGTTTTGAGTTTCCTCAGTCTTGTCATTTAGATCTAATATTAAATCCTAAATTTGGTTGTAGTTACTGGTTATTCACACTAAGACCAAAATGGAAGTTAATGAAAACATTTTATTTTGAACTCCTCCTAACAAGTGCCAAAATTATTGCTATAGTTTGTGCAGCTGATTCATAATTACAAATGCTGGCAGGTTTCTAGATGTACAGAAGTAAATTGCAGAAACCAAGTCTGTCTGCATTTTGACCACGTAGGTGCTACTATGTCCTTCGCTTCCGATTGTTCTGAACACTGGTAATTTTAAGAGTTGTTGCACTTGGCAAATGAGTCTTGCCATTAAACTTCACTTACACTGCCAAGTGCAAGGGTTTGGTGCTTAGTTAACTTACCCTTATTGCAGTGCTTCTGTGAATAGCTAATGCTTCTGAACTGGAATTGTACATTTTGTATTTTAAAGCTTCTGTAAAAGTAAAATATTAGCTTTATTAAAGATATACATTTAATAGGTCATACCTGTTTAGAATATGCACCTTACTGAAAATGAGCAGCATCTAAAATTGTAATTTTGGTTTGTAAACAAAGACCTTACTTCATTAACATAGGATTATTTAACAGTTTGAAAGTTGTTAGCTGCCTACTTACATGATATAAAACTGAACTTAATACACCATACAACCTGAAGCATCTTAAAAGATACTCTTTCATAAGAGAAAATGCCTTAACATCATTTTGGACTATTAGTGCAGATGGACATTGCCATAAATAAGTAATGTGAATTTTTAGACAAGTAAATGATTTGAATGGGAGTGAGTGAAAACTTTTTTTTTTTTGGGAGGGGGAGGAATGGGGGAGAATGATGAGGAGGGGAGAACTAATTACTGAGGCTTATGCTAATTGCATCACTGAAATGCACAATCAGGTGTAAAAATATGTATATAATAGTAAAATAAGCTGTGCTCTCGGTAGGTAAGAGTATAGAAGCAGACAGGTGAAAGGCTGACAATTACCCAAGGTGCACATGAGGCCTTGCTGATAATGCAAGAAGTTACTTGTTTACAGAATCTGCAGGGCAGAACATTCCAAGCAAAAATGAAAATCTTGGTGCAAGAGGGGTTAACATCAGCCCTCTTAGTGAACTTGACAGTTGCATAACTTAAAAGCTCCTTCCTAGAATTCTGAAATTCAAGTCCTTTTGCAGTTAATGCCAAGGTGTTCCTTTGTTAACGTGTTACATTAATCCAGAAACTACTGCTTTACAAAGCACATCTTCAATTTATTAGCACAATTTTTATGATACAGTGTACACAACAGTCTGTGCAACATCTGTCTCATCATTTCTACTTTCCCACCTGCTCACTGGTGTCCTCCTGTTCCACAACCTCAGTCATGAAACTCACTAAGCCTCACTAAGGCTGCCACAATCTTCCCAAGGCAGCAGTGGTGGTGTCCTGACTACTGAGCTATTTTCAGAAACACACAACACTGAGGTTTTCCAGAGCTGAAAGCTTGGTAATCCTCTCCCCTAAGTTCTACTTAATAGGAAGAAAGAAGCTATTCTAATATTAGAATTCACGTTTTAACATAGTGGGATGGCTCTTTACCTGCCTTGTGCGACTACACTTTCTCCCTCCCACAGTGGCAATGTAAACTAAAGCCTTTCTCTGTAAAGCAGGGCAGCCTGCAGCCGGGTACGTGCAGTCACTCTGTAGTCTTCTGCGCGCTGGGTGGCGTTGCATCTGCAATTGTGGCTAAATAAATGAGGTTTCTGTGCAGGATATGCTGGTACCTATCAAGGAAAGAAAAACATTTTTTGGGAAGTGAGCGACTGCCTGTTTTTCTCGAGCAGATGCCGCAGACTGAAGCCGTCACTTCCGTAACCCGCTCGCGTTCCCTAAGCAGTCTGCGCAGGACCGGGCCGAGCCGAGGCCGCCGCCCCCTCCCCCTCCCCCCCGAGCCGCTCGGGGCCGCCCGCCTCACTTACTGCACGCAGTCGGTGGCGCGGCCCTTGCTCTGGTACTCCACGATGCAGCGGATCAGCTGGTCGTTCTCCTCCAGCAGCTACGGCAGATACCGCCGTCACCGCCCGCTTCGGCCCCGCCTCCCGCGCCGCCGCTGAGGGGGGTTGCGAGGGCGGCGGCGGGCCCGGGCGGAGCCGGCGCTGCCTGAGCCGTGCCGGGCTGTCCCCTGCCGCCACCCCGGGACCCCGCCGCCCGCTCACCCTCTGCAGCGTCTCCTGGTTCACCTCCGCCTTGCCGCGCAGCCGCTCCGGCACGAACACCACCGACATTCCGCCGCCGCCCCGCGCCTGCGCTGAGGGAAGCGCCGCCCTTGCGCCTGCGCTGAGGGAACAGCAATCCGCTCCCCCCCCTCCCCGCCCCCCCGCCCCACTCGCGCCCCTCCCTCCACGCGCCCGGTTCCCGCTCGAGCGAACGCCGCCGATCCCTCCGTGCCCCTGCGAGGGCACGAAATAACTCCCCACAGCCTCGTTGTATTGAAGAATTTATTCCGGTTGAAAATAAAAACCCCTCGCTTCCATGAAACAAAGTAGCCCGCCGGTGGCCGCGCTGCCCGCTCCCTGCGCACAGAGCCCCCGCCCCGCAGCCGCCCGTACGGCCGCTTCCCGCCCGCAGCCGTGCGGCGGCCCCGCGCTCCCACAGCGGCAGCTGCTCGGAGCAACCGCGGCGGCGCCCACAAGGCAGTGCTGTTCACATGCAAAAACGTTACTAACAACGTTATCTAACTTCTACGGCTGCCAAATACTTGACCTTAATAAGGAAACCAATTACAAAATAGTTCCTCAGAGTGCTATACAAAAGTTATAAAATTAAGATTCTATCACCCACTTTAAATATTCCAACTTTCCAACAGTGCAGTTTTCTGCATCTTTATCACCACTGAGTACTTTGAAGTTAAAAAAAAAAATCAGTAAATTAGATCAAAACGTTTAATCTTTGGATCCCTTTATTCCTGTGGCCTTCACATACATATACAGACACAAATGACCGGGTCTCTATCTCAGCGTATCCACAAAGTGGAACTAGGCATCAGAACTGGCAGAAAGTCCATACTATGTCATTTGCGGATGCAATGTCTTAGAACCAGGTCTCATCTTCTCCAAACTATGGCCTATCAAACGCAAACAACTCCAAACACTAATTCCTCAATTGCTTATGTCTACGGGTATTACAACAAAGTTAACGCTTCAAGAACTGACAAATGCAGACACACTTCTGGCCCAGGCGTTCCAGAAGAATCGCTTTAACTCATGTGCCTGGTCCATTCTTAAAAAAAAAGAAGTTAATATTTATCACTAAGTAAAATTAATTGAAAATTTGGACATATGAAATTTATTTTGTCCTCATTTGAAAAATATCTCTTTCATTTGGTCAAATCCTGTGATATGCCAGAAACTACAAAATCAATTGCTTGCAAGAGAAGCGAAGAGCGTATCCAGTTTTGTGTAATGGAAGAACATTCCAAATCTTCATTATACTCCAAATATAAAATCAAATTTAAGCCCAAAAAGCTGCTAAAGAAAAAACCACAACTAATTCAGTGTTCTTCAGCATATCAACTTCTGCCATAACACAGTATGTTTGCCGACTTAAAAATGTTTATTCTTTAAAAAATTAGTTGCTTTTTATACAGCTATACAAAGTTTGTAATGTTTCTTTGGCAATGGGATATAATGGAATTTTACAACTATATAAAAAGTTTCCTTTGCCTAAGAAACAGTATTTACTGTTTGTACATATCTGACTGACAAAGCAAGTTTTCTACTGTCCAGCACCCTAGTTGATAAAGTACAACCATCTCAAAAGGGATATTACAGGATTTCCAAAAAACAACCTTCAGTGGATCAAAACACTCACAGTATCGACGGCCTTCTGCATACAATTGTCCTTACAACTTGAAGCAATTATCAAATACAGTTTAGTAATAAGAAAAATCCTTTCAGTGATGAAAAAATACTTAAACTCCATCGAAGTACTGCTTTATAATTAACTATACATAAGAAATTACTTATCCTTCTGTTTCAAATATATTTAATGCTCACTGTTTTCAAAGATGGCCATTTTTCAAAAAGTAACTGCATTACACCCCTTTGAAATTAAATAGTTAAATCCCAGTGCTGGTGACAAGTATACAGCAAATTAACTTTATTCTTTGCAGAGATTGAAACTAATTCTCTGGTTCAAGAAGCTCTAGACGTTCACGCAGTTTCAGCTTTCCTGTAGACTATGCAGCAACTTTGTTGTCTTTCTAGAGGGAACAACAGTAGAATGTTACAATTAATTTTGCAAAACAAAAAATGACAGGTTAATTTGGGGAACAGCGCTGGGAGAAGATATGCTCCAATGGCTACTTTTGATTTTCTGAAATCAGAAAGGAGATTTCTCCCATCTCCACATTAGCAGCTGGTCAAAATACTGGCAAACACCGAGACAGCACACCGACTGAAGTTGTAGCACAGATCCTCTGCCTGCATGCCACCTCCTACTTATCCAGACAACTGTGAAATGTTCATTCACAAAAACCTACTTATGATCTTCAACTCCTCATTTCAGTTCATGCTCAGCTACTAAACTTCTTTAAATCACAGGGCTAATTCTTGCAATTTGAGGAACGAATGGCTGAGGGACAGACATCTTCAGTTATGAAAAGGCTTTAAAAAAAAAATTGAATCTTCAATCAGAACGCAATGATTTTGCACTGCAAAATTTCTTACTGCTCACAAGCTACCAGAAAAAGTTCTTCTGTCTGAGTCAGAACTGTAAAAGTCTACACTTGCTTGCTTTAGTTCAGTTAATTATGTTTGTTACTGATTTTAAACAGTGTGCCCACATCATTTCTGCTCCTTCATAAGGTAATATTCAAGTTGAAGATGAGGTCTAGAAAAATAGCTTGCAATGAAATTATGAAAAGATTTTATTTTTGTAAGTAACCAAGCTCTCATAATTCATATAATCTGTCTGATCCATTAGCACTGATAAGAGGAGGATTTGGGGTTGTTTTAAGAACAAGAAAGTGCAGCTAAGATACCATTAGCACAGAACACACTGCTTTACTAGCAGAGGGTGGCATCCAACTTCTTCCTGGGAATGGCTGATAAGGAGTTAAGATCTTCAACAGGAAAGAGGAAAGCGCATGCCTTGATAGTTTTGCAAAAGTAAACTGACTAAGTATACTCTAAAAGAGAAACAGTGAATTCAGCCACCACAGCTTCTGCAGACCAAATTACTATTTATATGTTTACATGATGATGAAAACATGTTTGTGCATCAGGTTACTTTGGTTAACAGACTTCTATGGCAACCTGCGCATAATGCTTTAAGAAACTTTAACCCTCTTCATATTTACTTAAAGTAATAAAATATTTTCCAAAAGGTGAAAATAAGTATTATCTATGGGATGGGTAGTGATCTTTTCTGCAAGATTTTGCTTTATCTCCCACAGTTCTTTTTTGCTCTGAGTGGCTGAAAAAACAGTCAATCTTGCCTCAGCTTTCCCAGTAGCTACTGAGCTACAATATAATTACAAACTGTGTAACAAACTTACATATGTCGAATACATTTGACCTGTCTTTTGCAAAAGGTCATCTGTACACTTAAATTCAATTATTCTATTTTAAGGGCTATGTAGTATATTACAAGTACATAGGCACTGTGCCAGCTCATTCACAAAGAAGTCAAAGAACTTCCTTGCACACTACAAGTCGTCTCTTCTCTGTGTTTTTCAGTATTGACTAGAAAAACTCTTGCAATTCTTCTAATTCTTCTCTCACATTAGATCTGTAGATCTCTCATATTTTTCTTCAAATCCAGCTACAGAACACATATTTAGGACATCGGATTAAAGGCAGCTTTTGGTTGCTGTTGACAGCCAAACAATGGTAAGTAACAAGAATCAACAGACTTTCTATTAAGTAGCTGAGTCTATCTGCACAATACTATTCAAGAACTTCTAGTTCAATATCGAACCTAAAAGCAGCAGAAGTTATACTACTAGTTTCCAAACACAGTTGATCAAGTTAGAGTAAGATTAAATATATTTTACCCTATATTCAAAGTCAGCAAACTCCCTGCCTCCACGACCTCCTCTGAAACCACCACGAAATCCACGGGGAGTAGTGAAACCACCTCTTCCACCTCCTCGTCCTCTTCCACCTCGGAAACCAATCCCCCCTCTGCCTCGGAACCCTCCCCGGCCACGATTAGGACGCAGTGGTATTCCAAAGGTCTCTGCATTCAATCTTCTTTCCTCAGCCCAGGTTGGTCGACGTTCCCTGTCACATACATAGGAACAAAGATTGTTTTGTTTTTAAAACACTTTAGAATGAAGGCTGCCCTGTTTTGCTAGAATCACCACAAAGGCAGTGAAATAAAAAATGATACATCATCATCATTTGTTACAAACTATGCTTCTGCAAAACCTAGATGTCTGCCACAACTCATTTCACTCAGTAAGAAGGGGTGTGTTACGATATTGGTTATAAATCAAAAACACTCCTGTAGAGTTTCCTGTAGAGAATAGCAAGGTCTGTAACCTCTGCACACGTGACGTATTAAAAAAGAGCCATTTGCAATTTAGAACAGAGAACAAGAAAGTAGGAGTTTATAGTTGCATGCATTAACCTTATCTAGCTGTTAGTAAAATACACCCAACCTTCCCTCTCACCCCTCATTCTTCAAACTCAGTCAGCAATCCACATCAACATGCATAATAAAAAAGCCCACAGCAATCATAAGCTTCTTTCTTCCTGTAATGTTATCTTCCCATTCAAACAATACTACTTGCTAACTTATGTAATCTACTTAGAAACCACTATAAAAGCAAAATAATAATTGACTTAACTAAGGTGCTAATTGATAGCAAAGCAAAAAACCTAAACTGGAAAAGGAGAATCTGTAGCATATACAGTCAGAAGTACTCCACATTCCCATTTCATTTTGTCTTTGACATGCAGATGTAGCCTTTGGTGACTATTGTAATGAGTGGTGCCAACACAGACACATTAAGTACACTAACAAGCTTTCCCTCATAAGCTGTACCTATTGTCATCACAGGAGATGTTATCAAAGAAGGATTTGGTTTTGTCATAGTAGCAGTTGGGTCCAAGTGGATCTTCTTCATCTGCATTCCCTTCACTATTTTGGGTATCTACACCTGAGTCACCTTTGTCTTCTCCATTTACAGGCTTCTCTGGTTTCTCAAGCTTGTCTTCTGGAAAACAGAAGTAAACAGATTCCTTCCAGGCCATCAGACTAAACAGTACAGCAATATTAATTTATTCCAAGACATATATACACACACCTCCCCCTCCAAAAAAACACCTGAACGTTAAAAAACTATAGTA